TGTTAGAATATAGGGGGGTGTTGTCAGTATATAGGGGGGTGTCAGTATATGGGGGGGGTGTCAGTATATGGGGGGGGGGGGGTGTCAGTATAAATAAGGAGTGTTAGTATAAATAAGGATGGTGTATATAGTGCCAGTATATGGGGGTTGCAGGTATATTGGGGGTGTCAGTATATAGTCAGTAAATGGACAGTGTCAGTATATAATGGGGGTGTCAGTATATTGGGGGTGTAAGTTATTACAAGGGGTCATGGGAGAGTATACTAGGGGGTGTTAGTATATAGGGGGTCACTATATTGGGGAGTGTAAATATATTGGGGGTGTCAGTATATGGGAGTTGTTAGTATTTGGGGGGGGGGGTGTCAGTATACAGGAGTTGTCAATATATAGGGGTGTATTGGGGGGGGTCAGTATACAGGGGTTGTCAATATATAGGGGTGGATTGGGGGGGTCAGTATACAGGGGTTGTCAATATATAGGGGGGGTATTGGGGGGGGTGTATTGGGGGTGTCAGTATACAGGGGTTGGTCAAGGGGTATAGTAGGGGTCTGTCAATTGGGGGGGGTGTCAGTATACAGGGGTTGTCAATATATAGGGGTGTATTGGGGGGTGTCAGTATACAGGGGTTGTCAATAAATAGGGGTGTATTGGGGGGGGTCAGTATACAGGGGTTGTCAATATATAGGGGTGTATTGGGGGGTGTCAGTATATAGAAGAGGTGTCAGTATAATGGGGTGAGTTGTTTTCTGGGTGTGTGTATTGGGTGGGGGAGGGGAGGTATAGTAGGGTGATGTTGGTAGGTGGGTGGGTCACACACGGGGACATCTGTGGCTCCTCCATCCATCATGTCCGATGACACGTCCTCCGCCCTCGGCCGGACCCCGAAGTGTGCTCGGTGCCGCAATCACGGGGTTCTGGTCCCGGTTCGGGGTCACTCCAGACACTGCGAGTGGAAGCTGTGCTCCTGCCCCAAGTGCTCCCTCCTCACCGACAGACAGAGGGCCATGGCCGCCTACAAGCAGCTCCGCAGAGCCACCGACAGCCAGGACAACACCCCCGAGGAGGCCGGAGGAGCCGCACCCGGCACACCGAGCAGCCCCCCCGCACATGGTAATCCGTACACCGGGCAAGTCCCGACACCCATCCCCGCACTCCGATCACCACCGATCCGTGTACCGGTCCGCCTACACTGAGTATAGGACGATCTGTAGGACAACACACAGGACGATCTATAAGACGATATATAGGACGACATAGAGGATGATCTGTAGGACAATATACAGGACAATCTATAGGACGATGTACATTTGTTTCCATAACTCAATGGTTGTCATTTACTAAGACTGGATCACCTGTGAATTCCGACCAATCAGCTTCTATCTTTCGTTTTCAACCTTAAGCAAACAACCTGAAGCTAGAATCTGATTGGCTGCTACACACAGCTGCCCCAGTTTCTATGTGCTCCATGTTCCCTGTATGTGTGGTGTTCGGTCGGTCGGCTTTTACAGATCCCTCCACTCACCATACAACACAGATGGAGGAACCTACCTTGTATACGGAAAGCTGCTCCCGCCACCTGTTGAGGCACATTTTTACCACCCCCAACCACTCCCTGTTTAGCTGCAGAGGAAGTGGCTGGGCCCTGATGCTTGTCCTGGTAGGAGTTCTACATTAGCACCCGCCGAGTGCAGCCCACTTGAATGCGCCATGCGATTGCGGTTGTGCCGCAATCTAGTGCAGGCATCAAGGGGGTAGAGCAGATGGTGCAGAGCCATTGAATCAATACACCTCCTCACCACCTGTCAAATGCTCTCTGAAGTTCAGATCGCTCTTCAGAGACCAAAGCAAGTGTGAACAATATTACAATGATGGGGCTGTTGGATTCAGATTATTTGATGGATGGCTGCATCTTTATGTGTACTTTATGACTGCGGAGGTGGGGGGGGGACACTGCAGAGGTGGGGGGGACTGCGGAGTTGGAGGGTGGGGGACTGCAGAGGTGGGGGGGGAGCCCTGGGGGATGATTTAGCAGCAATCAATACACATATAGGAATTCTTTTGTTGTGTGTTTGTATCTCTGCGCTGATTGCCGGCTTCACAAAGTGTGACCAAGCCCTAAAACGCAGAAAACATCGCACCGAGTCGCTGAGATGGAACGCATTTGTATGTGTTGCAGTGTGCGTAGTGCGGAACACACAGCAAATCCTCCGCGTTTCCTGCGCCGCATCCAAATCGCACCGTCTTCATGCAATCTGCTGCAGGTGTCAGTGTTACATTAATGACACCCCAAAAACAGTGAGAACCATAAGCCCGGGTTCACACTGATGTGGTGCGGAATGTGCAGCGTTTTCAGTGCCAATTCCGCCCCGCATCAGAATCGCACCCCGTTCATACGAACCGCTGAGCGGGTGTGTATGTTACCAATTCCATACCGGGCACTTTTACCCCCCTTCCTGCCCAGCCCAGTTTTCAGGTTTCAGCGCTCTCACACTTTGAATGACAATTGCGCGGTCATACAACATTGTACCCAAACTAAAATTTTATCATTTTCTTCACACAACTAGAGCTTTCTTTTGGTGGTATTTAATCATCGCTGGGATTTTTATTTTTTGCTAAATTAACAAAAAAAAGACCAAAAATTTTGAAAAAAAAAAAGTTTTCTTTGTTTCGGTTATAAAAGTTTGCAAATAAATAATTGTTCTTCATAAATTTAGGCCGAGATGTATTCTGCTACATGTCTTTGGTGAAAATAACCCAAATTAGGATGTATTATTTAGTTTGTAGGAAAGTTATAGAGTTCACAAACTATGGTATAGATCTGAATATTGATCAATCCTGAAGTACTGACGGCCAATCTAATTTCTTGAGGTCCAAGAATGTCAGAACAGTACAGTTATCCCCCAAGTCAGAACAGTACAGATATCCCCCCAAATGACCTTTTTGCAGAGTAGACAGTCCGACGTACTTCATAAGAGGAATGGCGAGTTTTTTGAAGTTGTATTTTTTTGTCATAATTTTTCGGAAAATTAAAAAATTAAAAAAAATTACTTTCACTATTTTTTTTTTACATACTGTCACCAGTGCAGTACAGCATCATCATATAACTGGCATGGCGGTGATCAGGGACACTGACTGGTGACAGTATGAAAAAAATATATATTTTTATTTTTATTTTTTATTATTTTTTTTTTTATTAAATTTTTTTTTAAGATTTGTTTTTCATATTTCACTATGACCAAAGTAGTACAATGTTACTATAGTAACATTGTACTACTTTGGGGAAGTATTTTTTTTTTTTTTTTACACAATTACACAAGCATTTACCTGAATGACATCGATTCATTCAGGGTTTTTTTTTTGTGCTTAGCTGTGATTTGGCCACAGCTAATCACATGACATGTGCATGTGACCTGCTGTGACCATTCACAGCTAGACACTAGTATACAATGGATGGCATGATTGAAGCCATCCATTGTATACAACTGTCTTGTGACCTGCTGTGATTGGTCACAGCAGGTCACATGGTACCTGCAACAGGGCCGATACTCAGATCTGTCATCGGCCGTGTCCGAGGTACATGGCCGGTGACAGATCGTGCCGCTGCGCCGCTCTGCAGGAGCGCAATCTGCGCATGTGCGGGAGGAAGCCATATGGTGTCCACCCGGAACGCTGATGACATTTGCCGCCCGCCATTCGGCCATTGGGCGGACGGCAAATGGTTAAGTTAACAACACCCTGAGAGCAGTCCACAAAACACGGTGCGATGTGCAGAATCGGATTAAATAGGTGTGAATACCCATGCGATCCGATTCTAATGCGGACCCAAAAAAGGGTCCTGCACGTTTTTTGGTGTGCGGGTGCGGTGCGAACAGAGCCATACAAAATGTATGGTTCCAATCGCACCGCACAGAAATAGCATGTGATTTACACTGGAGAACGGTTCCTGTGCGAATCACATGTGATGTACCACACCGCATATATGTGAGCCCGGGCTGAGTGTGCTTTTGGCGCCGCTTGAGGCTGACAGCAAATAGTAATCACCCTGCCGGCAGAGAGTCTCTGTGACCAAGCCCCCTAAGGGCGGAGCGAAACACATCAGAGGGCGTGGCCAGAGTGACAGCTGTGGCCACTCCCTACACATTGTTCTTCTTTGACTCCTGGGGCTTGGTCTGAGCGGCGTCCATCTTCATACCCCAAAAACAGGTCACAAAACACAGTGCGATTGCCAGATTCAGATCACATGGGTGTCAACACCCATTCATTCTGATTCTAGTGCCGAAAAAAAAGTGTCTGCACCTTCTTCATGCATGTGCAGTGCAATGTGAGCCATACAAAATGAATGGGATCAAATCACACTGCAAAGAGTCGCATGTAGATTGCAGAGGAATGCAGTGCGATTCCTATGTGAATCACATGCGGTTTCCCACACCGTATATGTCTGAGCCCAGGCTTAGGAACACAGCAGTGTAGACGAGGCCTCCACACCTCTTATTCCTAAGGCTGGCCACACACTATACAATTTTCTTGAGAATTTTGATGTAGATTTACCAAAAACCATAATATGAGGTCAAACCTAAACAACACCTTCAATTGTATCCAATTAGGCGGGCCCTTGCATTACATCGTTGAAGGTAAATGTAAAGGAAATTGGGCAGAAATTGTAAGAAAATTGTATAGTGTATGGCCAGCCTAAAGCTGGCCATACACGTGTAGATTTTCTGATGAGAATATTCATAAGAAAAGTCGTACGAAAATTCTTTGAACATTCGGTGAATGGACGAATATCGTTTGAAAATTGTCTTTTGCTTTTAACCACCTCCCACCCGCCATATAGTAATATGATGGACGCAAGGTGGTTCTCTCGTTCTGGGAGGACGTCATATGATGTCCTGCCATTCTAACCACACAAGTGCGGCTCCGGAGCGCGGCGATTGGCTCTGTGCTGTATCCCTCGGACACAGCGGATCACCGATCCACGGAAAGAGCTGAAGATATCGGCTCAGTCATGTGATCAGCTGTGTTCAATCATAGCTGATCACATGTAAACAGGGAAATGCCGGTTCCCTGCATTTCTCTCCTCTCGAGCTGTCATGCTGACAGAGGAGAGGAGAGCCAGTAATCGGCATTCCGGGGAGGGGACATTTGCACTGATGATCAGTGTAGCCCCAGCAGTACCACCTGTCAGTGCTCATCAGTGCCAGCTGTCAGTGCTCATTAGTGCCAATGCCCATCAGTGCCACATTTCAGTGCCTATCGGTGCACAACAATTCCACATATCAGTGCCCATCTGAGCTGCCTTTCAGTGTCACCCATCAGTGCCAGTCAGTGCCACCTATCAATGCCAATCAGTGCCACCTATCAGTGCTGCCAATCAGTGCCGCCTATCAGTGCGCATCAGTGCCGTATATCAGTACCCCTTATCAGTGCCATATGTCAGTGCTGCCTTTCAGTGCCCATCAGTGATGCCTGTCAATGCCCATCAGTGCCACCTACCAGTGCCTCCTCATCAGTGCCACCTATCAGTGCCCATCAGTGCAGCCTCATTAGCGCACATCAGTGAAGGAGAAAAATCACTTATTTACAAAATTGTATAACAAAAACTAAGAAAAAACTTTTTTTTTCAAAATTTTCAGTGGTTTTTGGTTTGTTTAAGAAAAAATAAAAAACCCAGAGGTGATTAAATACCACCAAAAATAAAGCTCTGTCTGTCACAAAAAAATGATAAAAATTTCATATGGGTACAGTGTTGCATGACCGCGCAATTGTCATTCAAAGTGTAACAGCGCTGAAAGCTGGAAATTGGCCTGGGCAGGAAGGGGGTATAAGTGCTCTGTAGGCGAGTGGTTAAGTCAGCAGCTGCAATTTTTGTAGCTGCTGGCTTTTATTTTTTGACTGGTGAGTGGAACTCCGCTTTAAGATAAACAAGCATATCATACTTACCTGCTCTGTGTAATGGTTTTGCACAGAGCAGGCCTGATCCTGCTCTTCTCAGGTCCCCCATCAGCACTCCTGGCTCCACCCATCTGCCATGTGCCCCCCCATAACAAACCGCTTGCTATGGCGGCACTCATGCGTGCTCACTCCCCAGCTGGCTTTGTGTGTCCATTGATGCACAGAGTGCAGCTTGGCCCCACTCCTCACTCCCTTCTCACTGGCTGTGATTGTCTCTGAGCCAATAAGGAGATAGAGCAGAGAGAGAGAGAGAGAGAGAGTCGCTGTTCACGTGCACATCACTGGATTGAGATCAGGCTCAGGTAAGTATGGAGGGGGCAGCAGCTGCATGCAGAAGGTTTTCCTATATTAAAGCATAGAATACATTACGGTAAAAAACGTTCTGCCTTTACAAACACTTTAACCTCTTGCCGACCGCGCATAGCCGAATGACGGCTTCACCGCGGCCGGCCAGTTCTGGGTGGACGTCATATGATGTCCTCCCAGAACGCGCTCTGGGGCGCGCACCCAGCGATCTCCGTGATCGCTGTGTCCTACGGACACAGCTGATCACGTGATGTGGTAAAAGGCTAATCACAGCGGCCTTTTACCACCTGATCAGCGGTGTCCAATGACACGCTGATCAGAGGGAAATGCAAGTGCCGGTTCTCGGCTGCACTTTCCTCACACTGTCAGATCGTGAGGAAAGTACTGCCGAGAACCGGCAGTTGTCAGAGTGGGGATCGGCACCGATCATCAGGGCACTGATGATCAGTGCCCTGATGATCAGTGCCCAGCAGTGCCACCCGCAAGTTCCGCCCAGCAGTGCGCCCACTAGCTCCGCCCACAGTGCACCCACCTGTGCCCAGCAGTGCACCCACCTGTGCCACTCTGCAGTGCCACCTACCTGTGCCCAGAAGTGCCACCTACATGTGCCCAGCAGTGCCACCCACCTGTGCCCACCCACCTGTGCCCACCAGTGCCACCCACCTGTGCCCACCCACCAGTGCTGCCCACCAGTGCCACCCACCAGTGCAGCCCAGCAGTGCTGCCAGTCAGTGCCACCAGTCAGTGCCCAGGGGTTGTGCCAGTCAGTGCCGCCAGTCAGTGCCCAGCAGTGATGCCAGTCAGTGCCGTCTATCAGTACCCATCATCAGTGTCACCTATCAGTGCCGCCTATCAGTGCTGCATATTAGTGCCGCCTATCCGTGACACCTCATTAGTGCTGTCTATCAGTGCCGCCTATCCGTGACACCTCATTAGTACTGCCTATCAGTGCCCTTTAGTGCCCCCTATCAGTGCCCATCAGTGCCACCTATCAGTGCCCATCAGTGCTGCCTCATCAACGCACATCAGTGAAGGAGAAAAAATGCCTGTTTGAAAAATTTTATAATAGAAACAAAGAAACTTTTTTTTTTTTCAAATTTTTTTGCACTTTTTTATTTATAGCGCAAAAAGTAAAGCGCCCAGCAGGGAGTAAATACCACCAAAAGAAAGCTCTATTTGTGAGGAAAAAATGATCAGAATTTCATATGGGTACAATGTTGCATGACCGCGCAATTGTCAATCAAAGTGCGGCAGCGCTGAAAGCTGAAAATTGGCCTGGTAAGGAAGGGGGTATAAGTGCCTGGTAGGCAAGTGGTTAAGGTGGCCATAAATGGATCGAAAATCGGTTCAGCAGAGAACAGCCAAATTTCGATTATTTCATGGCCGTTCCTGTTTAGCAGAAGTCGATTGGCAAATGAGAAAGTTGTAAAACTTTTCTTGCTCAGTGTATTCTGACAGTGCTGAGTCCTGTGTCAGACATGTCCTGGCAGTGGATGGAGGAATCTGTTAGTCTTTTTGGTCAGCCTGCTGGTTAAATGAAAAAAATGAAGTCATCTATGACCAGCTTTAGGCTTCGTTCACATGGGGTGTGTATGCATCCATGCTTCATGTGAGGGCCGTGTATACTCACATGGCCATGTACAGGGCATGTTTTGTACACCCCTGTGCAGACATCACACATTACATTAGACAACTCATATGTTAACAACACACCTTACAATCTGATTGTACGTTCTTCTTTAGGCTTCACATGGCCATAAAAAATGCATATATAAGTGTTTTTTAACCAATTCGGTACCGGTAAGTACTTCAGCACCCCCTTCCTGCACAGACCAATTTTCAACTTTCAGCACTGTCACACTTTGACTGACAATTGCGCGGTCATGCAACACTAAAAAAAAAGGATAAAAATGTAAAATTTTTATTTTGGTGCAGACAGAGCTTTCTTCTGGTTGTATTTAATCACGGGAGTTTTTATTTTTTGGAGATTATTAAGTACCATAGTTTGTCACCGTTTCACAAACGTGCAAAATTTTAAAGTGTGACATGTTAGGTATCTATTTACTCAGCATAACATCATCATTTATATTTTGCCAAACAATTGCGTATTATATTGTGGTTTTTCTGCATTAAAATTCATTAACCGCTTATTGACCACCCTATAGCAGATACACTGCTAGAGGGTGGCACGGGTGCGCAAAATCACACACACACATATATATACAGTGGGGATCGAAAATTTGGGCACCCCAGCTAAAAAATTGTATTAATGTGCATAAAGAAGCCAAGGAAAGATGGAAAAATCTCCAAAAGGCATCAAATTACAGATTAGACATTCTTATAATATGTCAACAAAAGTTAGATTTTATTTCCATCATTTACACTTTCAAAATAACAGAAAACAAAAAAATGGCGTCTGCAAAAGTTTGGGCACCCTGCAGAATTTATAGCATGCACTGCCCCCTTTGCCAAGCTGAGACCTGCCAGTGTCATGGATTGTTCTCAATCATCGTCTGGGAAGACCAGGTGATGTTAATCTCAAAGGTTTTAAATGCCCAGACTCGTCTGACCTTGCCATAACAATCAGCACCATGGGTTCTTCTAAGCAGTTGTCTAGAAAACTGAAACTGAAAATAGTTGACGCTCACAAAGCTGGAGAAGGCTATAAGAAGATAGCAAAGCGTTTTCAGATGTCAATATCCTCTGTTCGGAATGTAATTAAGAAATGGCAGTCATCAGGAACAGTGGAAGTTAAAGCAACATCTGGAAGACCAAGAAAAATATCAGACAGAACAGCTCGCAGGATTGTGAGAAAAACAATTCAAAACCCATGTTTGACTGCACGATCCCTCCAGAAAGATCTGGCAGACACTGGAGTTGTGGTACACTATTCCACTATAAAGAGATACTTGTACAAATATGATCTTCATGGAAGAGTCATCAGAAGAAAACCTCTTCTACGTCCTCACCACAAAAATCATCGTTTGAACTTTGCAAATGAACATATAGACAAGCCTGATGCATTTTGGAAACAAGTTCTGTGGACCGATGAGGTTAAAATTTAACTTTTTGGCCGGAATGAGCAAAGGTACGTTTGGAGAAGAAGGGGCACAGAATTTAATGAAAAGAACCTCTGTCCAACTGTTGAGCATGGGGTTGGATCAATCATGCTTTGGGGTTGTGTTGCAGCCAGTGGCACAGGGAACATCTCACGAGTAGAAGGAAAAATGGATTCAATAAAATTTCAGCAAATTTTGGATGGTAACTTGATGCCATCTGTGAAAAAGCTGAAGTTAAAGAGAGGATGGCTTCTATAAATGGATAATGATCCTAAACACACCTTGAAATCCACAGGGGAATACATCAAGAGGCGTAAACTGAAGGTTTTGCCATGGCCTTCACAATCTCCTGACCTCAACATCATTGAAAATCCATGGATAGACCTTAAAAGAGCAGTGCGTGACAGACAGCCCAGAAATCTCAAAGAACTGGAAGACTTTTGTAAGGAAGAATGGGCAAAGATACCTCAAACAAGAATTGAAAGACTCTTGGCTGGCTACAAAAAGCGTTTACAAGCTGTGATACTTGCCAAAGGGGGCAGTACAAGATATTAACTCTGCAGGGTGCCCAAACTTTTGCAGACGCCATTTTTTTTGTTTTCTGTTATTTTGAAAGTGTAAATGATGGAAATAAAATCTAACTTTTGTTGACATATTATAAGAATGTCTAATCTGTAATTTGATGCCTTTTGGAGATTTTTCCATCTTTCCTTGGCTTCTTTATGCACATTAATACAATTTTTTAGCTGGGGTGCCCAAATTTTCGATCCCCGCTGTATATATATATATATATATATATATATATGTGTGTGTGTGTGTGTGTGTGAGATTTTGCATTTCCAGGTAGGGGGCACGTGCCGCCAGCCGTGGCTATCAATCACCAGGTCCGGCTGGTGCTTACTTGCCGGCGTTGAGTATTGCCGAGCATCTCCGACGAGGAGGAGAACTGGATGTAAACAATACAGTTCTCCTCCCTGTCAGCACGTGCACACTGCTTTTGGATGGCTGTACACAGCGCAGCCATCCACAGCAGCGTGATTACAGTGAAGCACAGACACACAGACAAGTAAAACAGCACACAGTTAACCCTTTGATTGCCCCTCATGT